TCTGACGATGACTTCCTCTCCGATGATGACTTCCTGTCTGACAATAACTTCCTGTCTGACGATACTTCCTCTCTGTGTGTAGGTCAGAGTGATGGTCCGGATCAGCTCGGTCCACAGCAGCGGGTTCTCGGAGTCCATGTCTCTGCTCAAAGTGGACAGCAAGAAGAAACTGTTGACGCTCTATGAGACGCCATCTGTTGGACTCGCCGCCGCTCAGAGACGGGGCTCCGCCTCAGTTCCCAAGTGCTTCACCTTTGACACCGTTTTCTCCCAGGATGCATCACAGGTGAGACTGGACGCAGTGACGTCATCAGTAAAAGCTCGGATCCAACAATTTGCTGAGAGTGTGTGTGTCTGTGTGTCTTTGTATGTGTGTGTTTGTGTGTTTCTTTGTCTGTGTCGGTCTGTTAGAGTCACCCTGATATAATTGTTATCACCGTTCTGTCACCTGACTGGTGGATCTTATTCGGCCCCCGATAGGCTGAGGTGTGTTCGGGGGCGGTGTGTGATGTCATCCAGTCGGTGGTGAATGGAGCCGACGGGTGCATCTTCTGCTTCGGACACGCCCAACTGGGTAACTACGTGCACACACGCATTTTACACACACACACAGTCATATACACACACACACACACACACCAAAACAGAGACATAGACACATACACAGACATTAAGGCGCGCGCACGTCTGAAATGTAGAGACACCCACTCCCCGGAATACTGGTTTAGAAACACACACCAACACTAACCGAAAAGAGACACACACAATTACACACACTTTTCTGACAAGTCACAAAACTGTTGAGTTGACAACGGCCCTCACCCCTCCACCTCTCAACGCTCCAGGTAAGACCTACACTATGATTGGTCAGGACGGCTCCGCCCAGAGTCTGGGCGTCGCCCCAACAGCCATCTCCTGGCTCTTTAAGGTGATGGAAGAGCGCAGACAGAAGTTCGGGACTCTGTTCTCCGTCGGGGCGTCGGCCGTGGAGATCTCCGGCCGGGAGGAGACGCTCAGCGACCTCCTGGCCGGGCTCGCCTGCTCCTCCCCCTCAGCGGGTGGGCGCCAGGAGGCCCCAGGACCCTCTGTGTCCCTGAGAGAGGACCCTCTCTGCGGATCCCAGGTAAAGAATTTCTTCACAATTAGATTTTCTAATTAAAAAACAGCAAATACCTACCGTCGCCTCATAAATCATTAAGTGCTCTTAAGAATACAATTATTAACTATATAGCTGAGGTTTCAGTTAAGAATTACTTGAATAACGTTGTCAATCAACTTACCTTTGTCAAATCTTAAACGCAGGTCTATTGAGGCACAACAAAGGTTTTCTGGTTGAATTCCAATTCCCTGATATTTGAGCCACCAACGCGTGTGGCTGCGTACGCTGCAAAATATTGGTCACCCGACAAAATCTCACTCCAAGGAGCATAGCAGTAGCACTAGCGTGGCCACGTCCACCTCCCCCTTCATATGTCCTATCAGTATATTCGTGAGGACATCAGCTCTTCAGCTCTTCTTCTCTTCGGTCATGTGACCGTCTTCCTCCATCAGCTGCAGAACCAGACGGAGTTGCGGGCGAACAACGCAGAGCAAGCGGCGTTTCTCCTGGACGCTGCCCTGGCAGCAAGGAGGAGCAGCCGGGCACCGAGTGACCAGGAGGCCAGGCGGAACTCCCACTTCATGTTCACGCTACACCTGCAACGGGAAAGGCCAGATGAAGGTGGCATATCAGCGAGTCAGTCTCTTCCTCTTCTGCTGCTGTTGTGGTTGTTGTTCATTTCCAAACCCTTGTTAAGAGGTGTAGTTGGTGGACCCAAATGCACACGCACAGCAGTTCGATTTTAGCCAATGACATTATTTCCCATATAACATGGGAAGTGAACAAATGTTGTATCAACATTTGCATGTAATCAATGCACGACTAACAAATCTTCCCCCTTTATGCTTCACATTTGGACTTGACAGTCTCAGCAAATTATAAATAATAAATCTAAACACATTTGAACTGTTGGATAGTTGAATAGAATATATATGTATATATATCCACTGTTTTGGGAGAATTAAGATCGAGTTTTTCCTGCCAGGATTTTAAACCGGGTCTTAATGCGTCGGGGCCGTTCTCCTCCTCGCGTGGAGGAGCTCATTGAGCCTAATGATGGCGTTTCAACGGGTTCAGAGCACATGAGACACTGCTTTAGTGCTGCAGTGGGAAGTATGAACCGAAACGAGTCCGTCTATTATGGCCTAAATGCTCTACCTTCGCTCTCCATTTTTCCCTAATTTTTCTCATCCGTCCCTTTCTCTCGCTTTCTCTGTCTCACTCGTCTTTTTCGTTATCTTTCTTTTCTTCCTACCGTCTATTTTTTTGGCTGTTGGTCCGGGTCCGGGTGGAACGGCTTCTGGGTCCGGATCCAGACCGCGGCCCACCAGTTGGTGACCTCTAGCTTAGACCGTCCATGTTCCGACGGCGGGATCCCTAATGAGCCCCGGATCCAAGATCCGGGAACGCTCCTCTGGTCCATAACCCTCCCAGTCCACCAGGTACTGATACCCCCTGCCCCGACAGTACACATCCAGGAGGCGATTGACCGTGTAGACGGGCCCCCCTCGAAGAGACGGGGGCTGGAGACAACTGGCTTAAGGAGGGAGACATGGAATACTGGGTGAATGCTCATGGAGCGAGGCAACTGCAATTTGACAGAGACTGGGTTGATGATGGAGATGATGGGGAAGGGACCGATATATCTGGGGGAGAGCTTCCTAGACTCGGTGCGTAGGGGGATGTCCCTGGACGAAAGCCAAACAGGCCGATGCAGTAAGCAGGGGCGGGTGTACGTCGTCAATCTGCCACCCTCCTGTTCCGCTCTGCCGTGCGAAGCAAAGCGGGTCTCTTTCCAGACCTGCCTACAACAATGGGCATTGCTCAGGACTGATGGTACAGCAACCTCAACCTCCTGGCTGGGGAACAGGGGAGGCTGATAGCCCGAGGAGGCCTCAAAAGGGGACAGTCCAGTGGCCGTTGACATGTGGGAATTGTAGGCGTACTCGACCCACGGGAGGTGACGGCTCCATGAGGAGGGATTGGTAGTGATCACACACCTGAGGATGGCCTCAAGCTCCTGATTCAGCCTCTCCGTCTGGCCATTAGTTGCGGGGTGGAATCCCGAGGATAGGCTGGCCGTGGCGCCGAGGGTGTGACAGAACGCCTTCCAAAGCTGGGACGAGAACTGCTGGCCACGGTCTGAAACTATGTCCGCAGGGATGCCATGAAGCCGAACGACATGCTGAACCAGTAAATTGCTGTCTCACGGGCTGGTGAAAGCTTGGGCAGGGTATACAGTGTATAGTCCGGGATGACCAGAGAGGCGGGACTCATGGGCCCACCTCAAGACTTGGGAACGGGCAGAAACAGGCGATTCGGCGGGCCCCCCACAGGGTCAGGTTGGGTGTTCTGGGCCTCACGTACCACCCTCTCTATCTCACAGGTAATAGCCCCAAGCACGCACGAGGCGGGAAGGATGGTGTCAGGGTGGAGTCTGTGATATATTTCTCATAGATTTGTGCTCTGGCCGGGAGATTATACAGCCGGCTCCTAGGAAGTGGGGCCCCAGAAGCAAGTCAATAGCGCAATCAAAAGGGCAATGAAGATGGAGCGAAAGGGCCCGCTCCTTGCTAAATGGCTCTGCCAGGTCCTGGTATTCCTCAGGCACCGCGGAGAGGCTAGGGCCGGTGTCCGGTCTGCCTGAGGGAAGAACCTGACGGGGGACTGCAGACCGGAGGCAGCGGGAGTGACAAGTGGAACTCCAGTCTGTGATCCTTCAATCTGTGAATTATGATCCTTGAGCCAGGGAAGGCCCAAGACCAGCGGTGTTTGAGGGGAAGGGAAAAGGTATAACTGGGTCTTCTGACTGTGATTCCCGGACACGAGTAGGGAGATGGGTTGACTCTTGATCAAGGAGTTGTTGGTATTTGTTAGGGACTTGCTGGTCTTGAACAGAGACTGGTTGGTCTTCATTGGGACTTGTCGGCTCTATTATGGACTTGTTGGTCTTGACTTGTCAAGAACTTGACTTGGGAATTGTGAAACGAAAGCTTGTCCTCTCTGGGATCTCTGTCATGTCCTTAAGAACTGGTTAAATGATTCTAAAATTAAACAAGTTTTTAATCTTGTCTGATAGCTCTAATTATTACTTCAATCCTTCATTCTTAACTCTCAAGACCAGCAGATCCTGGGTCAGATTCTTAGTCTCATCCAGCTCCAGCGACCATAAATATTTCTCATATTTAAACACGGATTATGTTTGATAGATTTTCGAAGAGCTGACGATGAAATGGAGACTAATGATTAGCTAACATCTGGAGTTGATACTCCTTGATAGAAAACTTTTAAGAAACCAGTCAATAGACTGGTCCTTTAAACAGCCGATATTCGGGTCCCTAACAAGCAATTAAACAGTTCTTCTGGTTTATCCTCTGACCTCCCGCACCCTCAGTGTCTGCTGGGAGCCGCCTCCACCTCCTGGACCTGGGGAGCTGTGAGACAGAGGTGAGCCGGACCAGAGAGGGCGGAGGAGGCCGGTGTCTGTCTCTGTCTTCGCTGGGAAACGTTGTCTTGGCCCTCGCCAATGGGGCAGAGCACGTACCCTACAGGTGCATCAGACCACAGAAAATACCTGTCTTCACTGACGCCTTTGAATGAATCCATCATGGTTAACTATTATGTTCCTATGGCGTGACAGCAGATAAAGCTTTACGTTTTTGAATAATGTAGCATCTGCTAATCACGTTATTACTACAATACAGAACATAGACAAGCATCTTGACTTGGTTTACGTTACTTTAACATGCAGCTGAACAATGCGTCGTTGGAAATGTGAACAGTCTCTACATTTATTACCGGATTGTAATAGCACAGTTCAACTTACTCTCATATTTATACCAACATGTATAGAATTCAGACTCTTTAAAACCTGAGTCCATCAACAATGCGTCTAAATAATAAAATACTTGCAGATAAAAGACATTTGGAGGTTTAGTTATCAGTTATTAAGTATCACTTCACATAGAAGCTGCGGATTCAGGCTTGTGAGGAAGGTTGGAAGCTTGTGTTGGAGTATGTAGATTCTATGTGTGATCCTTCAAAAAAAGCGGATCCCTTCTACGTGGAGTTCAAAGCTTCATTAACCAGAGATCATCCACATTCCTTTTTTGCCCATCAGAGCACTGCCAATGCGTGGGGTAACGAGTGTTTTCTGGGGTCCTGTTGGGGGGGCTTCTTTGGCTTTCTTTGGGCTAACGAGGGCTTTCTTGATGTATTATTCAGGGACAGTAAGCTGGTCATGCTGCTTGGAGAATCCCTTGGTAACATCAACTGCCGAACTACCATGGTGGCCCACGTGTCCAACTCCCTGACCGACTACATGGAGACGCTGAGGACACTGCAGCTGGCCTCCCGCATCCACCACACGGGGAAGAAGAAGTCCAAGGTGCCACCCTGCTCCTCCAGGCTTCTGTTTAAGGTTACGAGACAGCAGGACTCCTGTTTTATAAATCATGAGACTTTATTCATGTCATCATTCGTGGACATTTATAAGATGCACCTTTATGCTGCCAAAGATAACAGATGAAACTAGAACACAAAGACCAAATACATATCAGAAATGTAAGGTGTGTGACGGAACTATCAACAATAGTTGTGTTATTTATGGACTGGATACAGAATGATTCATTTGATATTGCATATGAGATATTAGAGATATTAGAAGTGATTAGAAGTTGGCTCTCCCAACCATAGTGACGTTGCCATGGATAGGAGATGTTTCAGGCTTAAACACAGTGAAATGTGAAGAAACAATATCCGCCATGCAGAGAAGCCGAGACGGAGAATAAACATTTTACTGGTTGCTCCTGAGTGAGTCCAGGTCTCTGGAGCCCGTTGATTGTATGTGGTCTCTGTTCTGTCTGCAGCATGCCTCCAGCTCATCCGGAGGGGACAGTTCCTGCGAGGAAGGCGGCCCGTCGCATAGACCTCCTCACCTCCGGCCACTCCACCCGAAAATTGTGGCCTTGGACCCAGATAAACCGCTGCTGCTGTCCAGCAACCCTGACTACTCCTCCAGCAGCGAGCACTCCTGCGACACCGTCATCTACGTCGGACGCAGGGGGGTGGCGGTTCCTGACCGAGAACTCAGCAACAGCGAGAGACCGCCGTCTTTTATCCCCATTGTCCCCTCGCTGACCAAAAAGTGGTTCAAAGACGGCCACAGGCCCACCGGCAATCACTTCAAGTGCAACACGTTCGCAGAGCTGCAGGAGAGGCTGGAGTACATCGATGACAGCGAGGGTTCCAACATCCGTGCCGAGGGGAAACCATCCAGAGCCACTAAACCCACCGAGACAACGTCACCAACGGGATCCGGTGATGTCTCCTCCCTTGAGCTACCAGCCACAAACACCACCGATCTAACCACGTTGCCTCCAGTCCTTATGGACACCTCCAAACGGACGAGTGCAGACAGGGTGAAACTCTTAGCCGCTGACCATCTCTGTGTGGTGAAAGCCGGTGGGGGTTCTCCCCAGGAATGGGACCCTGGGTGGAGAAAGAAGGTTTACCTCAGGGGAGGTGTTCCGAAGCCGTTGGCCTTTCCGTCCTTACCCAGGACATCCCAGAAGGCTGCATGAAGGTATCCCCCAATGGGTGTGAGTCAACCAGCACAGAGGCGAGGCCATCTGCTATGGGTCTCCTAACATGGAGCAGGCACACAGTGTCCAGGCATCTCTGTGCGGGGAATATCTCCTGAGGACCGCCGTCACATTGCAGCGTCCCGTGGAGCTGAACGGGGAGGATGAGCTGGTGTTCACAGTCGTGGAGGAGCTCCCTCTTGTCCCTGACAACGGGGGAGCCTCCAACATGCTTGTCATCGCCAGCGACTGCTCTCTGCGTAGGTCCTCCTTTGGCTCCCGGCCCGTCCCCGTCATCAGCAGCATGAACGACGAGTATGCTGCATTCACAAGTCAAATGGGAGACAAGGCCTTGGATGATGCATCCGGGATAACCTCGGCAAGTGTATTTCAGGAACAGCGGTTCCTGTGGTGCAGCGCCGCGGGCTCCCTGAGCGAGCCGTACTGTGACTCGAGTCCTACCTTCTTTACAGAGTGGCCTCCATCCCCAGACTCCCCCGGAGGCCCCCTGAACAAAGACTCACTCCAGGTGAGTGCCGGTGCTCCAAACACTTTGGTGTGGGACCACACTCCATATACCGGCAACTGTTCCAGTCCTACCCCAGAGCCTACCTCTACTGCAGCTGCATTCTGCGACAAACAGGAAGGGAGACGCAATGACGTTTCGCTTCCGGAAAGCAGCCGGTTTGAGGGAGAGGTCGGGTTCCTCTGTACCGGTAGGCCACCGAGCGGTGTTTGCTCCAAGGAGCCCAGAGGGAACACTAACAGTGTGCCTCCGCTAACAAGGGCAACCGCGCTGCCCGCAGCTCAGAGGGTTGTGGATGGTTGTGAGAGGCCCAGCAGGGGAGGAGCAACTCTGGTCAAGCTGCTAAGACTCACCCAAGGTGCGACAACTATGGGAATCATTTCCGCTCCCCAGAGTTCAGAATCAAAATGTGGTCGAGACGGCGCTACTGTGAGAGGAACCCTGAGATTCTCCTCCTTGGGTAAAAAGTGGAACAGGCAGAAAGGCAGTGCGATCTCCAGGTCTGGATCTGGAAACATCACCCCTCCTGTTCTGCTGTGCAAGCAGTCAAGCCAGGAGCAGAAGATGACGACTGCACTGTCTCCAAGTGCCTTAAAGACCAGGGGCGACAAAACGTTGACCTCAGAGGAAGAATTCAATGTCAGGCTGTGGTCGAATTCCTTCAGCCACAGAACATCTAGTTTAAAAATGCGACGTGGTTTTGACAGAACGCAAGGCAGCAGATCAGCGTCCTCCAGGTTCTTTGGGAGCCTGATGTCTGTGGAGGGACATAGCAGTCAAACCTCTGCTGGGTCCGGAATGTCCACGGAGTGCAGGGCTCCTTCTTCAGCGACCAGCAGTCGGTCCAGCCAATCGGCTCCTAGACTCGGGGTTCCGGCCTCTAGCTCCATATGTGGTTTTTCCTCCCAAGTTCCGCCTGGAGTCTTTTCAGCCACAAGCAAAACGCTGCCGGTCAAATGCAGCAGCTCTCGAGCTGCCAAATCCACTGGATTGAAGGTCCAAAGTTTGTCAAGAGGTGGCTCCAGGAGCCCAAGCTCCTTCCCTAAACCTCTCAACAATGTAGCTGGACGCGGCACTCGCCCCCCCTCCTGCAGTAACACCCCGTCCCGGTCGAAAGGTGCCGGCAACGTGCAGGCTGTCGGCAGGGCGCCTATCAGCCGAGTTAGCGAGCTAGCCTCTGGTGGCCAAAGGAAGCGACTCGCCGGCAGATCCAGAGAAACGGGAAACGGCAGCAGCTCAAGCGAAGCCGGGGGGTCGCCGAGCAACATGCCGCCGGTGCCGCCAGCACCACCGTCGCCACCGCCGCCAGCACCACCGTCGCCAGCACCACCGTCGCCTTACAGTAAGATCACGGCGCCTCGCAGGCCGCAGTGCTACAGCAGCGGACACGGCAGCGACAACAGCAGCGTGCTGAGCGCAGAGCTGCCACCCGCAGTGGAACGCACCGCCCTGTTCCACCACAGCAGAGGCAGCAGCGGCTACGACAGCGTGAGGGAGGACAGTGAGACCACCGGCAGCGCCTCCTCGGAAAGCCCAGCCTCCTCCTCTTTCAGCAGGAGAAGGGCCTCTAAACCACAGAAGAAGAGAGGAAGCGGTGAGACGACTCTGTAGTAGGTGGTGTTATCAGGGTCAACACATAGGAGACATTAACTTGTATATATTAAACATGTATATATTTAATTTATATAACACATTGTGTAACATATTGACTTGTATATATAATTAAATATGAATACGTTATATAAATGTATGTTTTATATATTGTAAATATAGAATATATACATATTAATATGATATATATTAACCAGTAAACAAACACCCTTTTCTCCCCATCGAAGGGTTTTTCATTTCCGTGCCAATGTTTGGGGACAGAGGATGTCGCCTGTGTTCAGACTGTAAAACCCTCTGCGGCAAATTTGTACAAAATAAAATGAATTGAATTGAGTTCTATAACAAATGTATTTAAGAATATTTATGTATATCTATATTCAATAACATATTAAAGCATAATAATTGGTCAGGGTTCCTGCGGCGCCGTCTGATCCCGGCCATCCTGTTGGACGCCTCCTCTCCGGGCAGAAAGAGGGGGGCTCAATGGGTGGACCAGCGCTTTGAGATAAAGGTGTATGAGATCGACAACGTGGAGCGCCTGCAGAGGCGGAGCGGGGAGTTGGTGACGGGGTCGGAGGTGAGGAGGAGATGATTGTTGCTTAGTGTGTTAAATATTTATCTATATATAAAAGAATAATATTTGAACAAACTCATCATTACAAAATGTATTTGATTGTTTTATAGAATTCTCATTCAATGAGAACACATTTCTGTCTTCATGGCTAGAACGTTGTTGTGCATGCTAACAGGAGCTAACGGCTAATGGAGGGCTGTAGCGGTGCAGATAACCTTATGGGAGGGGCGGGGGCGGGACCAATAATTCAATTTACCATAATGTAAAAATAACTTTAGAGCGACAGAAGCAATGCTGTTTCAGCTCTGACTTTATGTTGGTGAATGCTTATCTAATTGAATATAAAATATAACAATCTGTGAATCTTCATCAAATCTTCATCAATATACAAATATCTGGATTTAGATAAAGAAAACCCACCAACCAAGAGGTATTGAAGGTGCTCCTGGTTCTTCCTCCTGCACCTAGAAGCTGATCCACCTCCAGGTCCTTGTCCTCTTCAGGCCTCAATCCTCAACCACAGTTAGCAGATTAGTGCTAACGCTTAAACTTAAACTGAGAGTGAAGCAGGTCCTCCTGAAAACCTCTGTAGAGCAGCAGACCGGCTCTTCAAGGTCTGAGCAGGGTGCGTTTGTTGTGCTGGGTCATCAGGGTCTGCTCCATTTCAATGCCCGGCTGAGGATGTTGGAGAAGAGGCAGCAGCAGATCACAGAGCTGAAGAGCAAACACCAGAGGCTGATGAAGGAGCTGCAGGAGACCAAGACCTGGTTGATGCTGGACGCCAGCAAGTGGAGCGGAAAGTGTGAGTGACGTAGACCTGAACAATAGACCTGTAACATTTGGCCCTGTGGTGTATTCCTGCAGTGCTTTATTCTTCATAGTCCTGTATCCTGGAGTCTTGTAGAGGGAAGGGAGGCAACAGGAAAACCAGAACCAGAACTGAGAGGGGGAACCTATCAGACCCCCCTGCAGTAACATGAGGGTTTTATGAATGGACGAATCAGCGTTTCCAGCATTAAATGTTTTAACACTAGCCGATCTCTTCCCTTCTGGATCCCTCCCCCCAGTTAACGTGGACCAGGACCTGTACCGGGAGTCCCAGGAGTACCTGGAGGCTCTGGCTCAGGCCACTGCAGAGCTGGACTACTGCGTGAACCTCTGCAAGTCCCGGGTCATGATGGAGACCTGTTTTGACATTGTGGGGACGACGGTGGTTGTCACACAGGGGGGTCCGCAGGAGGCAGAGGTGTGACAGGAGAGGCCTGGACCCCCTGTGGTACTGCAGCAGAAAGAAGCCCACAGTTTAAATGAGGAATAAAGAGGCTTTAGGTTTGTGATTCACACAGTAATCCTGTTTATTGAAAAGCTTTTTGTCTTCCTGATGATTTTAAACGACGTCCTCTGTCCCCGACGTCCTCTGTCCCCGACGTCCTTGTCTCCCTCGGTTTTGCATTCAACCGTCCTTAGGCTCTTACTCTATGGACCCTTTTCTTCTTCCTCTTTCATCTTTCTCCTTTTCTCCTTCTTCACAGTTGAGTCTGAAGAGAAAAAAACATTTCTTTGTGCTGTGAGACCTGATTTTTGTAAAGTCAAATGTTGTCATGTCCAATAAAATGTTAATAAAGATGAATTAAACTGTTTTTATCGTTTCCTTAGTGAGAACGTCAGAGGACGATGCACAATACATTCAATTACTATGACAGAATGATTCAAATAATTGTCGTAGTAAGCAGGTGTACGACAGGACCACTGCAGGGACAACCACCCTCACATAGTATATATATATAGATATATATCTATATAACCATGAATTGAAAGCCTTAAGAGAGCCAGTGAGGGAGGTTTCTGGGCTTTGAGGGACAAGCTGCAGGTTGGGACTGTCCACGAGGAAGACTACCCTGGGAGCTACTTACGGGACGTTGAAGGACGTACCAGAGGGACATGAGATTATGATTTCACCACCACCAAGCGCCATCGTTTAAGTTTTTCACAGTTGAAGATCAACCGAGTTGGACCGCTGTTTTCTGTTAAGAACTTTAATAAAATCCTTGCTGATGTTTGACCTTGGTGTCCTCTCACTCATTGAACTGTCCCGCTGAGAGCTGGCTGACGTCACCATGTGTGTGTGTGTATTGTGTGTATATTTTATTATCATTTATTTATGTGCGAGCGAGCGATCAGGAACTGAAATGATTGTGGGGCAGCGCTGGTAAAGTTTTGGGAAGAATTATGCTTTTTTTATTTTGTCACACAGAAACGACCATTTTATTACATTCAGCAGTTTTGACGTAATAGAAGTTCACAAACGTCACAACAAACAGGTGTGAAAAGAATAAAGACTTAAAAATCACTGGATGTTACAGAGACAAATATTCAAATGTAAATGACCTAAAACCTCTCAGCTGGTTTTAAACCTTGTGATTAATTAAAAAGTCTCCGTGGACCAGAACACAAAGAACTGAAGCTGTAAGGAAACAACTGCTCCTTAAAATGAAACCTTCTTTTTGAAAGCAGTTCCTGTATTTTATTTTGAAGGTTCCTCATGTCTGCGGTGGAAATTTAACCAATGAATCACCAGAATTCAACTGAAAAATGACCAACGATGACCGAGTTGTGCGACGGGCCTAAAAGCCTTTGCTTGTGATGGATCTCTCACTGCGTGTCCTTCGCTTCTTCTCTTGAACTGGAATCTGGATTTTTCAGGACGGCAGCTTCTCGCCCTCGGGGAGGAATCCTCTAAAGGAAATGGCCTTTTCTGCGTCCGACAAAGTCCAGATCGTCCATCCCGTCCTCGTCGCCTACTTTGTGGTGGAAATTAGCGGATAAAGAAATCAAAAGTATTTTAAACTCTTTCTTGATTCATCACTAACTAGAATATAGAAAAATCATAAAGAATACTGAAATCATCAACACAAGCCAAATGACTCAAAGGGATGGTTCCTTCTCCCTTAAAGGAGCAGGAAGATCTGACAAAACCTCAAATACACATCACAGTTGTTTGTGTTGTCAATCAGAAGACACTTCTCACAAAGAAACCTGAGCAGGAAAACCGGTGTGGCGGAATACTTCATCATCAATCGTTGTTTGACAGGCTGATCATTTGAATAAGACAATAAAAACACTGCCGGTCCGGAATGTAGAATGTTGCATCGTTCTTCGGCCCGATTCGATTAGTCCAAATGTGTCCTCCTAACGTCTATTTCTAACCACTATTGCCTGACCTCTTTGGAAGACGTCACAGGGTCAAGGAAAGAAGAGAATTTATGAAAAAACAACGCAGGGTTTTGAAAATCCAACTTCATTTCCACTAAGCTACGTAGTTCTGATGGACGGGAAACGCATGTTAGTGACGTCAGTCTGCAGCAGCAACATTTAAATGTTAGGAATTGTGGGACAGAATTATCTCCTTTCCTTTTGTAAAGGAAGGTCGGGTGGTTCCTATGTTAAAGGATCCAAGTAAGGAAGCATTAAAGCTCCTTTCCTTACAGCTTTTATCGTGGCCGCTCACAGAAAGCATCACTCCAACGTGTGGACTTTGATTCTTTGGAGATTTGAGTCTTTGGGTCTGTCCTTGATTCTTGGTTTTTGATTCTTTGGGTCTCGAAGTCTTTGTGTTTTGGGTCTCAGGGTCTTCAGGGTGTCCGGATCCTGGGAGGAGTTCTGGTCTCACATGGTGAATGAAGACCCGTTGTCACTGCATTCGTCCACCGAGCGTCGGGTGGACACGTAGATCTCTGACGTGACTCTGGAGAAACGGCGTGGACCGATGTATCTCTTGCCCAGACACCAGAGGTCCATGACGAGCCTCCTGAAATGGTTCCTGAACTTCACCCCGACGAAGGCGTACAGAACCGGATTCAGGCAGCAGTGCAGGTAGGCAAGGGTCTGCGTCAGCGTCTTGGCCGCCTGCAGCACGTCTGACCCCTCGCAGGAGCCCTCCTGGAACATTCCGGCCGTCTCGTACAGCAGCGTGACGTTGTAGGGCAGGTGGCACACCACAAACACCAGCACCACGACCAGCACCACACGCACCGCCTTGTGCCGCTGGAAGTTCCTGGCCTTCGTCAGCTTGACGATGATGGCGCCGTAGCAGAGAACCATGACCAGCAGCGGCAGGAAGAAGCCCACTGCCAGCTGGGTTCCCGGCACTGCAACCTTGGTCGTCCGGGCCGTGAAGTTGTCCGCAAACCACAACTCGCAGACGTAATGCGGTGGCTCGGCGGTACGGTTGGCCTCCACGGAGGCGCCGATGTGCAACGGCTCGTACCGGTGGTAGAAGTAGAAAGTGGGCAAGGACAGCAGCAGCGCCGCCGACCACACGGTGCCGCAGATCAGGCGGCTGTACCGCAGCGAGCGCAGCCGGAAGCTGCGGCGGGCCTGGACGATGGCCACGTAGCGGTCTGCGCCGACGCAGGCCAGCAGCAGCATGCCGCCGTACAGGTTCATGCTGTAGGAGCCGCGCAGCAGCTTGCAGGCGACCGGCCCCATGGACCACGAGGACAGCTCATTGTAGACGATGAGGGGCAGCGACGCCACGAACAGGAAGTCTGCCACGGCCACGTTCAGCAGGTACACGTCTGTCATGGACTTGGTCCTCTTGTAGAAGGCGTAGGTGACGATCACCAGGCTGTTACCCACCAGGCCCAGGATGCAGATGATGGAGTGGACGTACGGACCGACCACCAGCTCCATGTTGGTGTTCTTCTGGTCCTCGCAGGGTTCAACCAGTTTTGTCCAGTAGTCGTCGTCGCTGTCGTTGTAGAACATTTGGTCCCCAGAGTCGTTCATCGTCTTCTTATTCTGCTGTGAAGAGAACATGGACACCAACATTCAGCCATCAGTGCTTTAAAACCTAAAGAGATCAGCAAAGCGATTCATCTTTCAGTATTTAGAAGAAAAAGAAACACTACAAACAAGTCCTTTAGTTTGTAGCAAAAAGACACACATCTGTGTATCTAAGGATGTTGTTGATGGACTGGAGTCCTAATCGAAGCTTTATGGCACAAATAAGAGTGAATAGATGATGACCTCACTTACAGCTCAGCTGAATCAGTACAGAATAATAGAAGACAGATGAAGACATTTTAAAGAACCTTCACAGCCTCCTCTGGTTCTCACGCTCTGAAGTAAAAACCATGAAACAAACTGTGAAATGGAAACAAGATGAGTTGCACATCTGCTCGAGGGTTCGATTGTGTGTCCCAGTTGTGGTGGAAGGTGCCACCGAGTGGGAGAATGTTTGTTCTTGTGTGAGAGGAAGTCTGCAGAAAAGCAGGTCAGAGGAGACGCAGCGGGCGAGTGACCTATTTTAACCAATGAGAGGCGACTACGCCCCGTGTTGAAATGTGTAAGACGCGTGTTTGTCCTTCATTCATGGTCCTCGAGCTGCAGCAAACTGGACGGTGGAAACTTGGGTCCCTCAGTCACAACCTCCATTTCTTATTAAAACCGCTACACTGTAACTCAACGAATCCCAAAGTTCTTCAGTGTGGAGCATGTGGGTCAGAGACCAGGATCCCAAAGCCTCGTTTCCATCAAAGTGGAACACAGGACACTGAGAGGACATTTACACTGGAAAAGATTAATACAAGTTTCAGACGTGACGACAGAACATGTTTCATTTCTACATTTAAACATAAAAAGTGTGTGTGATATCAAATATGGCTAATATTTATTGTTATAAATGATATATATATATGAGAGATACAGATTGTTGTATTTAATAAATGAGTAAATCAACCAATCGCTGTAGTTTAGTTATTAAATCGTCATCTGTTGTCGGTTTAAACTCTACATTCAGGTTTAAATGCTCCTAAAAGGATTCACTCTCTGATCTGGGTTTTATTCTGCGTTTGCAGACAAAGTTGGAACATTGAACAAACAGTGAATCCACCCTTCAATAAACAAAATGATTCATCTGTTCATCAAACTTTTCGTCCTGCTCCCTTCTCGTCATCGTGACTTTTGTTTGTAAAATGTCAACGAGGGTCAGACAACAACTAAGATGGATTAGAATTGTCAAAAGATGGCCTCCTAACGTCTATTCCTAACCACCTTTCCTTGACGGTGGGAAATGTCAAGGAAAGATGGTTAGGAGAGGTGATGAGCAGTTAGGAAAAGACAGCGGCGTGTTGAGGGAATCGGACTCCACCGTCACAGAGACACAAATTTAAATATTGCCGCTGCAAGAAATCGTGGGACGGAATAATCTTCCTTTCACAAAGGAGGTCCGTAGTTCCTAAAGGAGCTAAGTAAGGAAGCATTGAAGCTCCTTTCCTTAGCATTAGATAATTAGATCAGCTCTTATCGTGGCGACTTCACTTCCCTTCCTCTCACTCAGTGAGGAACCTTCCTTCTTCTTCTCAAGTGTTCTTGTTGTCTTTGGTCTTTTATTCTGCTGAGTCACATTACAAGTCCTTTAGCTTTTATCCAAAGCGACTACAAAGAAACAAACCCAGAAGAACAAGAAACAGGGAGGTGCACTTTCGTTAAATTAGCCGATTTACAACTTAAACTACAGATAAGAGCCACAATACGAACAATTCAAGTGCTACAATCATTCGTTAGTGCTTTTAGTCTGAAGTCCAGGTGTCTTTGAGGACTTCCTCTAAATCAGAACTTCCCTCAAACACACCTGCACAGGTGGAGCGTTGTACTTTGTACTACGTATATATTGATGCACATCACTAATTCAGCTTCTTTCCGGGAGTTTTTTGTGCTTTCTCCCCTATCAGGTCTCCGTAGATCGTGGTTCCTTCTGGACCCTGGTCCTGACACCTGCTGTGGCCCTGCTGACGCCTGCTGCTGCCATCATCATCATCATCATTATTATTATTATTATTTTAGATATTAATCATTTTACTTAAATCATAAACCAACATTACCCTCTCCTAAAGTCTCTGTGCAATGCCTCCCCACAGGCTTCTGTGGATGGTGCTTCTATATGATGGTGTTCTATGTGATGGTGGTTCTATGTGATGGTGGTTCTATGTGATGGTGGTTCTATGTGATGGTGGCTCTATGTGACGGTGGTTCTATCTGACGGTGGTTCTATCTGACGGTGGTTCTATGTGATGGTGGTTCTATGTGATGGTGGTCCTATCTGATGGTGGTTCTATGTGATGGTGGTTCTATGTGATGGTAGTTCTATGTGATGGTGGCTCTATGTGACGGTGGTTCTATCTGACGGTGGTTCTATGTGACGGTGGTTCTATGTGATGGTGGTCCTATCTGATGGTGGTTCTATGTGATGATGGTTCTATCTGATGGTGGTGGTCCTATCTGATGGTGGTTCTATGTGATGGTGGTCCTATCTGATGGTGGTCCTATCTGATGGTGGTTCTATGTGATGGTGGTTCTATGTGACGGTGGTTCTATGTGATGGTGGTTCTATGTGATGGTGGTTCTATGTGATGGTGGTTCTATGTGACGGTGGTTCTATGTGACGGTGGTTCTATGTGATGGTGGTTCTATGTGATGGTGGTTCTATGTGATGGTGGTGGTCCCTGCAGTGGTCCTGCTGTGCGTCTGGTTTACTACTCACAGTAACTTGAATCATTTCTGTCATATAGTCTCATGTATTATACATTGTTCATTCTGTCCTCATGACATCATTGTAGTCGTCCATCAGGAGACGGATCCTCCTCTGACGTTCTCACTGAGGTTTCTTCCCTTTTTTCCCTCTTGTAAGGGTTTTTTCATTGTTTGGGGAGTTGTTCCTGTGCCGATGGAGGGTTTCGGGACAGAGGATGTCGTATGTGTACAGACTGTAAAGCTCTCTGAGGCTAATTTGTAATTTGCGATATTGGACCTGTAGGATATTAGAAACAAATATACGATCCGGTTCATAAATTAATAAAAATGCATATAGTGTACACCAGAATACAGCCATGATTCTGAAACTGTGTAATCAATAAAATAATGACAATATTGTAAAACCACTGTAATTCTACAACTGTAATAGAATAATACCAATGCAGTTATGATCGTATTATATGTAATGTGATCAACTGGAATGCATGCATGTAATACTTGCACAACAACTGATATTGACTATGGGTCATTTGAAATCCGAGTTACATTGAACTCACACAACACAACAACACCATGACTTTATTCAATACATTTGATTTAACCTTTAGATCAGCGATGACCTCTGTCCGTCCGGCGTTTCTTCATTTTTGAACACAACAGACCTCAGCACATTGATCGGGTGTTTTCCCAACAAACTAACGTTAGGTTCATAGGTGCATCTTATTATATAACGTTACATATACATGTTCTAATAGATTTTATAGAAATATATTTATCCTTTATTAGCATATATTTGTTATATTCATGTTGGATATTTATAATAGTTATAGTAGTTATTGTATTCTGAATATAGTTGTATACATATCCATTGATAGATATACTGAATTGTTTGACTAAGATGTCCTTATTATGTTAAATATGATGAATAAATGTTAAATGTTCAACTGAAAAGTAATAATGTGTGTTTGATTTTTGCATTGAATCATACTGTGATGTTTACTGAAACTGATTGGCTGGTCCTACCAAAAAAAAAAGCATGTATATGTATATATATATATATATATATATATATATATATATATATATATATATATATATATATATATATATATATATATATATATATGCACCTGTCTGTGTGTGTGTGAGAGTGAGTGAGTGAGAGACTCACACACTCTGAGACAGTGAGACTCCCATACACATACCCCATAGCTCTGCATCCCGAGAATCATCTCTAGGCCGCCGGCCTCCGATACGCAGATATATAAATATATATATGTATATACAGACACATCCATGGCGAGGGGCACGTATAAATCACACAAGAGTGAGTCTCCCTCCCCCCGCCTACTC